AAAAGCTCTCATATTGGGTGTGTAGATGGGGTGGGAAGTTGGGTTGTTGCTGATGCAATCACGGTGTTGGGGTGAGGCCTGTGCTCATGCGACCAGACTTTAGTCTTAGTACTGTATTATCCTAGGCTGTCGAACGACCAGTAGTCTTCTGACAGAGACATGACCATGTGGCACGCTCAAACTCCATATCATTGTTGTGTTCGAGCCTCTTCGAGATACTGATCCAACATCGTCCAACTGCAAACACATGGAATGTGGCACCAATTGACGTAGGTCGGGCATTGCACAGCGTGTGGTAGACCTGGTCCCGAGTACCATAAGATGTGTTCGGCGCGTGCGAATTGAGGTCTCGTGTTGCTGGACTCTTCGTGTAAGTCGAACTGCAGACGAGGATTGTAGGTGAATGAGGGGTGGCTCATTTCATTACGCGGAAGTTTGCGTGTGAGTGATAATACAAAGTCGAGTTCACAGGTGTTGATGGAAATTGGTTGTAGCAAGTGGGTAGGTTATGCCGAGGTGAAGTCGCGCGCTTACGTGAAGAGGTCATCGAAGCCGCGGCCTCAAGCAGAACAAACATCCTTCTCTCCTACCTGCAACGCGTTCCAGGTATTGCTGCAACTTCTTGGCCTCGCATATGGCCAAATACAAGAGCAAGACGCTTAGCCTGTATGTTAAGATTCGCAGTTTTTGTACTACCGCTTGACGTCGACTCTGCTCAATGGCCAGTCTCAGGTCTTTGACTTCCACGACGGGGCCTTACCGATACAAATGAGAGATCTGGCACTGCTGGTGCTGCAAAGGAAGCTCGAAGTGCTCAAAGTTTTTGCGAGTACTCTGCAGTATTGCCGGGATGCGCTCCTTCCCACTTCCCTTCACCTCGCGTCATGTGAAGACGCGTTTCCAGGGTCCAAGCTAGCTACTCGCTATCGCGGTCTGTTCTCGCGATGCTTTCTTCTTTCAACAACCTCACGCCTCCCTCAGCATGTTGGACCACTCGACTGCCTCTACGGATGCAAGAATGGTACTCACTCGAGCTTAGCTGAAACGCAAAGCCGCTGGCGAACCCATCTACATCGCCCCGCCTGCTCGCAAAGCCCGGCGCGGCAGACAAGCCACTCGTATCACCGAGTTACCTGATGAGCTCCTTCAGGAGGTATTCAGCTACATTGTCTACTCGAACACTTGGCTACAAACTTACCATTCACTCTGTCTCGTCAATCGACGCATGAATGCGCTGGCGACACCTGCCCTCTACGCATATTTTCGATTCGATTGGAATCCAAAACCGTCATTCTCGCTTTTCTTGACAAGCCTACAGGCACCTGCTTTTACCCTGCACGCCAAAGATCTCCGATGGATCCTTAGACCAAACCAGGTGTCCCTGGATGATAAGGCAGCGATGGCTGGGATGAGGAAAGCCTAGAGGATCCCAGGGTGCCAAAGCTGGCTGGCGGCCATGAAGCAGGGCCACCACAAGGTCTACCTCGCAGTTGCGCTCTGTCTGATGCCGAAGATCGCAGGCTTCGACTATCAGCCCGACGATCACCCTCTCATCGATGTTGTCCAACCACCTGCACACCTGGAACTACTGCTATCTGCCGCACGGGGCATTTCACATGGGACGACCCATATTCTCAGTCACCTTTCGTACCTAAAATTGACATCAATGCCGAAAATGCGAGTCGCATTTCGGCGCTTTTCGTCTGCCTTCCTCACGCTATCTCGAATTGGAATGTTCCTGTGGCGACGTGGATGAGTTCGGACATGCGGTCTCAAACAAGCCCCGAACGTTGGCAGCCTGAAGATGCCCGGCCGAAACTTCCGCCATCACAGGACTTGCAATATCCGGTGAGCTCTCGTGTGAGGTTATGAACATTATGCTTAAGAGTTGTGCTTCGATTCGTCGCCTTTGGTTCGAAGCCTGCATAGATCTTACTGTGCAACCTCATTAAATGAGAACGGTTGGAGGCTCACTTCTGCAGCACAAACGAATGCTATGCTATGTCTCCTCGAACGGGACCAAACACCAATAGCCAGGAATAATCGAGTCAGCTTCGGGTCAAGTTGCGATACTGGGATCACTTCCCAAGCCCAGAAGCTACGTTGGCTTCCTAGTTCTACTTCTTAGCCCGGGACAAGCGAAAGTCGGGGATCGGCTTGCCGCCCTGGCCCGCGTGCTCAGCCCGAGATGATCCATTACCTGTGCCTTGAGGTCCCTTCGGCATGGAACAGCCATCTTCTCGACGTATACGACGCTGAAGCACATACTGTCCTCCCGTACCTTAGAGAGCTTTACATACGTTTCCTCATGGAACCTCCGGTACCAAATATGGAGCACATCCTCACTCTCAAGCAATACTTTGCGCAAGCCAAGATCGACTTCAATTACCAGTTTGACTATTGGGGCTATCACAATCCATCGGACGGTATGAATCCCTTGACTGCCGCCAGACAGCTTACTGAGTTACTATAGTTTTTGCCGACCGACTGAGAAACCTCCGAGCGATGGGTTCCGAAGGCAACAAAATAGCGGAATATGTGTATGACGGTGTTTCTGAAGACGATACGTCATGAAGCTTGATTCCCGGGCTAGACTTGTAGCATATGCAATCGGTAGCCACACATGTACAACCAACTGAAACACCGCTGAGGCTCCATGTTGTCACTTGCCTGTCTGTTGACACCAGCCCGTCTCAATGCCATCTCGTCATAACACCCTCAACCATCGTAACAGAAGCCATGACAGTGCATCCATGAAGCGAATCTTGCAAGTGAAGCAGCACCAACAGCCCAGGACATACCACTTAAGGCCAGCTGATATTGACAGTTAAATATATGTCACGACGCCTAGAAAAGCTTCAAGCAATTGGACGTGCTGGAAACAAGCTGAGAAGGATGCCTGAGACGGCCTCACGCTCGTAAGTGACCCATAGTGTCGGGGATCGTGAGTGATCCGTACGCATGTGGGAAGAATTGCAGGATTGAACTGAGGTTGTATTGTGTGAAGCTACGGACAGTATGTATAGGTGAGTAGCTGTAAACAACGCTAGTGTGACGTGGCAGTCACTCTCATGGCAGGTGAGGTTCGACAGGCAAGAGCACCCTAAACCGTGACACATAGTCAACCTACCATTTATTTGCTTAACGCTTCCGAGCATCAAACTGCAAAGTCAACACATCTGAAGACAATCCCCGCGTACTCGCGATACATGCTACACGTGTCATGAGCCTTGTCTCGACCTATATTGCTTATGCGCAGACTGAGACTGCGCTTGCTACGAATTGGGCTACTAGTAGCGTTCCGGTAGCGCATGTACATGCACTTTATGGAATTACCTGGCTTTTGAGAATGATCATGTGTCACAACACCCTGAGGATCTCCAGCCTGTTGCATCGTGGGACCAAGTTTGCACAGCATGTTTGCAATTGGGTCACTGTCGTTTGTGACAGATGGTTTGATGTAAAAGGGTCCGACTTGCGTACGTTGGTCCATGGTGTAGCTGACTGGCCCCACAATGGCAAGAGATACGAGCAAACAGAACACATAGCGGGGATGCAGGAACACATCAAAGACACTGAAGGAAAGTATTACGGGTTGATTGTTTTGGATTATTATACACAAGACCATCATCATCCATCACATCGGTGTTCCGTCACGGCGTATCTTATTTTCCATAGCCCAATACGTCTCTATCTTTACAAAGCAAGGATAGCCAGGGCAGCAGCACCAAGAAGACCAGCAGCCTGAGTAGCCTGAGCGGCACCACCAGTGAACTGGCTAGAGGGGGCGGAGGCAGTAGCACTACCAGTGGCGGAACTAGCAGCAGAGCTAACAGCAGAAGTAGTATTAGCAGCCGAGCTAGAAGCCGCAGAAGCAGCACTGCTCAGACTGGACGCAGCCGACTCAATAGCGGATGAAGCGCTGGAGATAGCAGCGGACGCACTCGCCGCCGCAGAGCTCGCAGCAGACGCAGCCGCGCTCGTAGCGCTAGCAACAGCTGAGCTGGCAGCGGACGAAGCGTCGGGAATCTCGATCGGGACACCAGCGTCGGCGCAAGTCGACTTAACAGCATTGATGGTAGTCTGCTGGTCAGCGGCGGAGCAGGCGCCCTTGACGCAGGGTTGGACCGAAGCGAGCAGCGTGGTGCCTTGCTTGCAGTGGCAGGCGAAGTCGGTGAGCGACGAGCAGCCGTCGGAGGTGAGAGGACCGATGAAACAGTTTAGCTGTAGTGTGTTAGCCGGGTTGAAGGAATTGGAGGGTATGGGAGTGGATTGGGGAGAGGAAGTGGAATGATGAAGGCACTGATGATGGTATTGGGGTGCGGTGATGACGTACGGCGCAGGAGGGGATGTTGTCGAGTTGGGCGGAGGCGACGGAGGCCAGGGCGACGAGAGAGACGACGGCGAAGGTCTTCATTGTGCTGATGGATTGGTGGGTTGATGGATGGTGGAGTCTGATGGGTGAACGAAGGTATATTAACGATGGTGATGCTTAAAGGGAAGGTCTGCAAGAGCAAGCAATACTTTATACCACAGCTGACCGCATTGCCCATGAACAGGGCACAGCTCGTATTCAGAAGATCCACTCGCCATGATCGTCACATGCAGCACCTGGAAGCATCGACGTGCTCCGAACGGTGCCTGCCATGGCCATCCTTTGACGTGTTGAGGAGGCTCTCCAACAACTGGCTGGGGCTGGATCGAGGAGAAGCCTGCTCGCCGAGACCGTAACCCCTCTCTGCAAATGAAATTGGACATCACAGGGGAGCATAACCCTTTGACGACCACGTCTGCAAACTGTCCGGGGTAGTCTCAGCAAAACCCTTTTATTGTTTCGGCACAAAGCGAGTATGAGCCATTGACTGATTGGTTGTAGACGATGCGCTCTTACGTCCTGAGGCGTTGCGGCGGTAACACGGCCGGGATGAGGTCTTGTTAAGACACCAAGACCGGTGCCCCAGACGCCACAAGTCTTCCTTGGTTGGGCGTGGTTCCGTAAGTGGCCCGCAGGCGTTGATCGCGGCGGGAGCTAGGTTTGGCATGGCGTGATGCAGAAAATCCGGGGTGGCTTGGCCATTCACAAGCTCGCGCGCACGCAAACCCAACATCTTGTGCGGCGGAGGAAACTCGAAAAACAACGCTTTGTTTAGCCGAAGAGTAGACGCAGTCCTGCATGAAGTTATTTTGGTTTTGGCACTCCGTCGTATGCTTTGCGCTCGCGACTCCCCGCTTCATGTATGTCTCCTTTCTTAGTCATTCTTCCGGGGTGGCAAGTATTCGCGCAGGAACTGGACCAGTCGTAGAACGGATGACACTCCCGGGCTTGACGTTACACTTGGTGGCCTTGAAAGGCGCCAGGATCTAGCGAGAGGCTTGCGGTCCTCCGGAACAACTGACGGATGGAGGTCTCGTGAGCTCTGCACTTACACCGTACCTGCGTCTGCAACCTCAAGATCTCTCGAATCTGTGCAGCAAAATGCTATTGCTGCTGCGCCAACTTGCGCTCGCAATCCTCGTTATCGCCGGAGCCAGACGAGGGTCGAGAGAATACTGTGACATAGTGTTGTCGATCGAAATGCGTTCCATGATGGCGGGTGTGACGGCTCGGTGTTGTGTGAGGTTCCTCGGCAGCATGTGCACGCACATGAACCTCAGCACAAACGCAGAAAAAACCTGGGGAAAACCTGGGGTTGCCAAACGCTGTGTTGAACATGACTCAATTGGAATTGAATGGATCACAAAACCCAACATGATGAACTCTGTCGTCGAATGCTGCGACAATTGGCGTTGTTCAAGCATGGGCGCAGCAAACCGTATGCTGAGAGGATTGCTTTGACGTAATGAGACGGTCCAGGAAGGAAGCTCGAAGTGTTGGTACTAACCGAAATGGCACCCAGGAAATTCAGCCAGTTCTCGAAAAGTTCGTAGCCCGGACTCGTGCGGTGGTCCATATCGCTCGTGTTGGCAGCCTTGCATGTCTCCGTGCCGTATCTGTTGAGTACACTTCAACTCTTAGCATTTGCGCAAATGCCGCACCTTCCGCTTTCCACGCTGAACAACATGGCGTTCTGCTGAGAGGTCTGACTGTGGTAGACCACTTTACTGTATTCTTGACAATATCGCTTCTGGCCTAATAAGTCTGCAGATTTGACCTTAGCTACAAATACCATCGTGTCCTCTCGCGAGTTGGGGTTCTTGAGCCGTCATGCTCTGCAAGTCAGCTCTGACAGTGGCACAAGCCTGAGGAAACCTGCGTCCAAAAGCATAGTAAACAAGGCCATCAGGGTCGAGCGAGGTCTAAAACTAATCTGCAGCAGGAGATGAAGCCCACCGCCTCCTCTGTGACCGCGAGCTTTCTGTAGGTGGCAGCATCGACACTGAGGTAGATGAAAGTGACGCGGTCAAAATGCCTGAAGTCATGAGAGGAATGTAGTCTGATCGGCAGCCGAGCAAGCTCAAACTGCTGTCAGTGCTGTCTGATGAGCTAGTAACGAAGGGAGCGTGATCAGCTCTTGTACTGAAGCTCATTGACATCGATATCAGCCCCGTGTGTTGCGTGATCTGTGGGTGGGCTGCAAGGTTGCCTATCGATAAGGTCGCGCCAAGACTTTGCTGAGGAAGTCGCGCTAAGGAAATCGCCCTTTGAGCTTTACATCGCGGCCGGCTGCGTCGACTACATCTCGAATACCTCCAGGTTACTGCGCAGCATCTCATAGCTGTCGCCAAACTCCCTTTCGCCTATTTACACCTTAACGCCACCACCATCCCACGACATGGCGACAACAGCACCGATTCCAAGCTCCACCGAGCAGCTCGTGCGCGCGTCAGCGAAACGTACAAGAGAGATATTCGCAGCAGACTTCGCGTCGTCAGGCGCACTCGACCATGCGCCAAACTCAGCATTCTCCATCATCGCCACTGCTCCCGCACCATCAACGGCCGCCGACCAGGTCAATGTCGCAGCGCGCATACGCAACGAATACGAGCATGTGCGCGAACTGCCCCCTGCTCTTGCTGCTAAGATGGCTGCAGCAGCTTCCACTGCGGCAGAGCGACGGAAGAAGATCAAGAACCAGAATGCAGAGGAGCAGGCGTCAGACCCCAAGATGCGCAAGATGATCGCAGGCGCATCCGAGAAGGCAGACAAGGCCAAGGATACGCAGTCAATGGCGCTGACGTTAAGAGCTGGCGGAAAGGGCACAGCGCCTAATGCGAACGGCCCTACACCGAGCAGGAATGCGACATCGAGTTCGCTGGTGCGCAAGGACACAGTTAGGCAGACAAAGCCCGAATGGCATCAGCCATGGAAAGTTTCAAGAGTTATGGCGGGCCACATGGGATGGGTGCGGTCGTTGGCCGTGGATCCAGACAACAGGTTCTTTGCTAGTGGTGCAGCTGACAGGACAAGTGCGTATCTCTTCATCCATGCTCAGAAGTAGTATGCTAATGTGTTCCACAGTAAAACTCTGGGATCTTGCCAGTGGACAGCTCAAGCTCACACTCACCGGCCACATCAGCGCCGTTCGTGGTCTGGAGATCTCGCCGCGACACCCTTACCTGTTCTCATGTGGAGAGGATAAGATGGTCAAGTGCTGGGATCTGGAGACAAACAAGGTCATCCGTCACTACCATGGGCATCTCAGTGGTGTCTACACACTTGCGTTGCATCCCACGCTGGACGTTCTGATCACCGGTGGTCGTGACGGCGTTGCTAGGGTCTGGGACATGCGAACACGGACGAACGTGCATGTACTGGGCGGGCACAAGGGCACCATCTCGAGCATCAAGGCGCAGGAAGCCGACCCCCAGGTCATCACTGGCTCCATGGACGCTACCATCCGTCTTTGGGATCTGGCGGCCGGCAAGACGCAGACAGTGTTAACACACCACAAGAAGTCAGTCCGAGCACTAGCACTCCACCCGAAGGAGTTCACATTCGCATCCGGCTCGTCGCAATCCATCAAGCAGTGGATGTGCCCACGAGGCGACTTCATGCTGAACTTCCAGCCCGCCAACAGCATCGTCAACACACTGTCCGTCAACGAAGACAACGTTATGTTTTCCGGCGGTGACGATGGCTCCATGTCTTTCTGGGACTGGAAGACTGGTCATCGATTCCAGCACACCGAGCAGATTGCGCAGCCAGGTTCCTTGGACGCAGAGGCTGGCGTCATGTGCTCAACATACGACAGGACTGGGCTGAGACTCATCGTCGGTGGCTCAGACAAGTCGATACAGATCTGGAAGCAGGACGACAATGCGACGGAGGAGACACATCCACTCGACTGGCAGCCTACGCTGGGCCGGCAGAAGTTCTGAGCGGGATCTGTCAGAGACTGTCAGAGACTGTCAGAGACTGTCAGAGAGGGACTGGCATTGCATATGCATTGTAGGGTGTTGGGGCGTTCAAAATGAGATACCATGGGCTTGGGTTGAGTTAGCTGTGGAATACGCAGATAGCATATGTGAACCGTAGGCGTCGTATTTCGTATTTGTGTGGTCAAAGCACCACCGCGGCGCTTCCCTGCCGACGTCAACCTCACCGTCTTCCCACTCCCGCCAAACCCCACGCAAGATGCGCGTCGCCAAGAAGAGACTATGGGCCTGAAGCGCAGAGATGTAGTCCTCGCCGCCGTCGCTGTATTCATTGCCTGGGGCTATTTGACCCACTGGCAGCCGAAGCTGCACTACCTGCCCTATGCCTTCGTTGCCGGCGCGCTCGCGACCGTAGCCTCTGGAGCTTGGCTGAGCTTCACCACCGTCTGGAACAAAGAGCTGCGACACAGCAAGGCCAACTATGGGGCTCGCCATGCTGCCTTTGTCAGGCCGGAGCGGTGGGCGGCCGAGGTCGAAGCCCTCACCAAGCGCAACGAGTACATGATGGAGCCCCTGTACCCCGTCTCCTTCGTCGTGTCGGACAGTCTGGACGTGCTGGTTGGCCTGATACTGCGCGACTTTGTAAAGAGCTGGTATGGCAGTATCAGCAAGAGCCCCACCTTCGTCAACGAGGTCGACCGAGCAATACGCGCGGCGCTGGGCGAGATCCGCGACCGCGTCCTCGCCGTGGACATGGTCGAGATGGTCGTGTCGCGCCTCATACCGATAATCACCAACCACTTGCGCGCATCGTACGAGGCCGAGCAGGCTGTGCGTGGGCGCAAGCTGATGCGCAATGTCACCGAGAGCGAAGAGCTGGACCTCGCAATCGCCGCGAAGTACAAAGAGGGCCGTCTGCACCCGGCTGCGTCCCTGGCATACTCGAACACCAAGCCGATCCAGCAGCAGCATCTGCGCAGCCTCGTCGCCCGTATACTACCGAAGATCATGCCGCCCAGCATGATGACTAGCCCGGCGGTCAATGTGCTGATCAAGGAGCTTGTGGCATGCGCTGTTCTTTCGCCCATTATGCAGATGGTCTCTGACCCGGACATGTGGAACCAGCTAATGGAGGGTTATGTGAGTATTATGCTATGAGAGCACTACACTGTAGCAAACGCTCATTCGTCCAGGGTCGCACACTTCTCCAAGAACGTAAGACAGTCCGCAAGCTCCGGGCAGAGCTCGACAAGCAGACGCCTGCCTCGCCCAGGATCCCCAAGAACGTCCAGTTTCCCAAACTCGCACCTGGCGACAACGAGCGGCGCTTCGAGAAGTTCATACGGGCGATCAGACAGACAAATACGCTGGCTGATGCCCGCCGTTTTCGCAGCGAGGTCTCCAGCCAGTTGCGGAAGGACTCGCAGGTCGAAGGCCAGGATGCGGTGTATCTGCGGCGCCTCGAGACAGCACGCAGTATATTGGATCAGAAGGTCACGAATCTGAGTGCTGGCGGTTCGGTGCGAGCCAAGGTTGCAGCGAAAGAGCGGCCCAAGCACAAGCGCACATCCTCGCGGTTTGCGAATGCCTCGCTTCGAGAAGTGCTGTACGATGCATCTGGTCTGTCTTGCTTCATGGAATTCATGGATCAGACGGACCTGATGCGTCTCGTCCAGTTCTGGATAGTTGTCGATGGTTTCCGGAACCCACTCGAAGATGAGTTGGACGAGGAGCCTGCCGGACACAGCGGTCCACTGCTTTCTTGGACAGAGTCCGACCGTGCGGACATCGCGCAGATCCACGATGCATACCTCTCGAAACCAGAACTCAAGATTCTGCCAGAAGCCAAGCAAGCCGTTGCCAGATTCCTCAAGGCAGGGCGCAGGGCGACACCGCAGCAATACCATGATGCACGGCGCGCTCTACTCCGAGCCCAGACCGATGCGTATGACCAGCTGCAAGAGCCTTACTTCAGGCGTTTCAAAAGGTCGAACCTGTACTACAAGTGGCTCGCAATGGACGAGGCAGCAAACCCAAGTAGAAACATTGGAACACGATCCATCGCCCAGACCTTGGACAACGCCGCTGTGGCTGCTCCTGCAATGGCTAGGTCGCAGTCAACCCAGCGACCAATGCTGAAGGTACCGGCGGGCGATCTTCGCCGCGCAGTAGCCTCATCGTCTGATCTCAAGAGCCAGGATGTCATCAAGGAGTTCGAGCCGCCGGTGAGACGGTCGCTGGATGTGCAGTCACCCACCACGCTGCGATCGCCGTTATTCGATGATGACTACGACACTGACACTATGGCACAGTCAACTGCAAGCTTGGACTCCGACTTCGGTCAGAGTCACCCCAATGGAAACAACAGTCAGGTTGTTGATGCTATGCAGGCGGCATTGACTGATATAATGGACGAACCCGAAGGCTCGATATTCTACGATCCTGGTCTGAAGTCGCCACAAGACAACGACTCTCGGAAGGGCTCCGTGGATCTACCCGGAGCTTTATCCCCCAGACCTATGATGCACAACAGGAAAGAGAGTGAGAAACCGAGCATAGCATCACTGGGACTCGTCGGTGCCCCCCGAACACGCGGGGTCTTCAACGACGATCTCTTCGGCGATGAGGAGAAGTTCCTTGAGGATGAGGTAGATGATCCTGTAGCCCGTGACAAGACCGATGATGAGGATATCCATGAAGCCGCCCCCGGAGATCTGGGTCTTGCAGAGGCTGTTGATGCGCTGACTGCGGACATTGAGCGTTTGGTGACGCAGGAGTCTATTGTGGATTCGTTGACTTCGAAAGCAGAGCTGACGAATAATGCTGCTGAGCTAAGAATCTTGCGTAAGAGCAAGGCAAGCTTGCAGAGGGAGATACAGAGGAAGGAGTTGCAGCGTCAGCAATATATCGTGCAGGAGAGCGATAACAGCTTGTATGGCCGTGCCACGGTGTTCATACAGTCTATCATGGTTGGCACCGAGGAAGACGGGAAGGAGTACGCCATGTGTAAGTACATCACTTTGCTCATATCATACTAAGCAATCGCTAATGTTGCCACAGATGTGATCGAGGTCAAACGTAAAGCAGGCGATCAGATGCCGGCCGCAACGTGGGTCATCTCTCGTCGCTACAGCGAGTTCCATGAACTGCACAAGAACCTCCGCGCCAAATTCCCGCAAGTCAGAAACCTCGAGTTCCCACGCCGCCAAATGATGCTTAAGCTCCAAAAAGACTTCTTGCACAAGCGTCGACTAGGCCTCGAAAAGTATCTCCGCGTACGTTCCCTTTTCTCCGTCCCTTCTTACTTGACTGAACATCCACACAGGAACTTCTCCAAATCCCTACCGTCTGCCGCAGCCGCGAACTCCGCGCTTTCCTCTCCGCCTCCGCCATCAACCCGGCCGACACCCTAAAGAATGCCGCGGAATCGTCTGACTTTGTCTCCCGCATCTACTCCTCCGTTGCAGACGGCATGGAAGAATTCCTCGGCAACATCCCCGTGCTCGACCAACTCAGCGTCGCAGGCCAGAACCTCATTTCTGCCGCAACAACCCAACTCGCTTCCCAGTCCAACCACCCTGCCGACCCCACCGCCCCGCCAGGCCAGGCAGGCTTCGAAGCAGGCCTCGGTGTAGGCGATGCCGAGGCAGAAGCCGAACTCCTCGCCTTCGAAAACAAAGAACTCGAACCCTTCGTGAAACCGATCTGCGATCTCTTCCTTGAAGTCTTCTCTCTCAACGCGCAAAACAACTGGCTCCGCGGGCGCGCCGTAGTAGTTGTCTTGCACCAGCTCCTCGGCGGAACAATCGAGCGAAAAGTCCGTGAGAGCTTTACTTCGTTCACATCCGCCAACAGCATGGCTTCTTACATCGACAAGGTGGCTGAGATGATGTGGCCCGGTGGTCGGATGAAGCAGCCTGACCCCGGCGCGGTACCGAGGAGCCAGAAGGATAAAGATAAGTCCAGACGCGAAGCAAAGGCCGTGCTGGAGACGCTGGTGCCTGAGTTGGCGTCCAGTGTGGTGGGCAGACAGAATGCTGTGATCGCGGCCAGGAGGTTGGAGGGGATGCTTAATAACGAAAGGCTGAACACGCATCTAGTGTTCACACTGGTGGATGATGTTGTGAATGTGCTCTTTCCTGACGCTTAGCGCATTGGCATATTAGCGCGCTGGCTGGGTGTGAACTGGTGTGTTTGGCGGGCGAGAGTTGAAGTGATATACATGATTGATGATCGAGCATTTGTATAGTTACGAGTAAAGAAGAATGAAGGCTATGAATAACTGGGGGCTGATTCCAATGTCGCTCGGATGCAGGTCGTTACGGCACGGCTCCGAGCCATGTGCGATGAGGCTGTGCTGCATTTCTGATAGGCCAGACGCACCCGCACCACTGCGTCACGTGGTGCTAAGCTTCAGCCTTGTTTGTGTAGACCTCATTCTGGTCTCTAATGCTCCTCTTTATGCCACTCCAACAGTTTTTTTCCCTTTCTCCATATATGCACTTCGAATGCAATGATGTATCGGCAGGCCAGAGCTAGATTCTCCCACCGAAGTGCTAAGCGCAGGGAGTATGTTTACCGGCCGTTACAGACAGCCACGGAAATACGTTCTTTGGAACTTCTGCCGGGGATCGGCAACGAGCCTTTGAGAGGAGAGATCTTGCATACTGATCTGGGTGAAGAGATTATAGCGGCCCCGGAAGACATCCCTGTCATTGTTGAGAGGCTCAAGCTCTTTGACAGCCAGCCACCACCTCCGCTGCCGGAACATGCGACTGAACTGGACCGGACCCAGGTATACACTGCTTTTACAGATCGGAGTCTCATCTGCCACGGGCGACAAAGGCATTGACAGAAATGAAAAGGTCGAGAACCAAGAATCTGGACACCATACGAAGCCTTGACGTACGTTTGGGGCAAGCCTACTTACGATCATGAGATTCTGATCCCAGTAGGGAGGTTAGCTGTCACGGTAAATCTTGCAGAAGCACTTCAGCACATCCGACATGACGCGTTGGTCCGAAATATATGGGGCAGCGCGCAACTCGATCCTTCTATTGTGGAAAGAAGTATCAACCGATCAAATTTCGACCAGGAACACTGGCTCTCTGACGCCACCGAGCAGTCGAATTCATGAATATCGTGCAAAGTACAAGTAGCCTATTGTGCTCTGACGATCACAATCATATATTTGGCCTTCTATGTTTGGAATACTGGCACCTCGACCCGAGCATTGAACCTGACTATTCGCAGTCCGTGGAAGAAGTCTTCCTTAATGTGGCTGGTCTGGTAGTCGAGTGCGGCGGGAATGAGGGCCTTCTCAATCTGAGAGTCGACGGCTACGGACACATCACAACCTTACCATCATGAGTGCCGACTGGAGATTACCCTCACATTTTCAGCCTTTCAATTGTATCAGTCACTATACGGACAAAGATCATATTAGATCTGAATGGGTCTATCTCAATCACTCAACCCGCGCGCTCGTCTTTTCCGGTATCCACCTGAAACAGATGCATACGATAATGCCCGCTCTTCTTGATCTCGATTCCTTTGCAGCTACTCTTGACGCAGTAGCGTTGTACTGGACTGTAATCGTCAATTGGCCCAGAACTCCACAACGTGAATCTTCGGCCGGAGAGGCTTGTGTTGATCTCGAAGTGCAAATGATACAGGCTCTTTACTATCGCAGTAGGCTCGGAATCACTCACCAATGGCCTTCTTGGCTTAGGGCCCCAAGAAATGCGCCCCAGGGATCAACTTGTTCTTTTGCGGACTCCATCATCCGTGAATCCTGCCGTTGTGCGTGAGATCGATGCATCGCGTTGTTAAGCCAGTCCATCACGCGCAAGGAGTATGACAGCCCGTTAGTGTGTGCAATAGCCGTGTTGTGCGTAAAGCAGGATGGTTGGAAAGGCGCCGAGCAGTATCCGTCCGTTTCGTCGGCCGTCGTCAAGGTGGCGGGTTCATGATCGTGCAGCAAGCGTTGGAGTTGTCGGGCTCGTTCGACGAGGACGAGTTCAACAGCGACAGCGCGTACGAGAGCGACGACAGCAGCAGCCCGCCCCGACGCCGGCGCAGAAGATGTTTACAGTTCGTGCAGGAGATGATGGATAGGTTCATGGTGTGCGGCAGCCATAGCCCGATGCAGTAGATGTTGGATTTGCGGACGTACGGGTTGAAGATCCATTACAACACGACGTCACGCGGCCACGTCGAATGGATTGGACGGGATGGGTAGTTGTAAAAGAGTCTGCAGTTCAGCATGGCGCAGTTCCGCGGCATGGCGCACGGTTCAGCAGTTGAGAGCCGGTGGTTGATGATGAATGAGTTGGCGTCGCAAAATCGGAGTCAACTTACTAGCAGCTCTACAGTGTGTGCGGAGGTGGATGGGAGCAGGTTTGATGGATGCCGATTACGAGATTGATGAAAGCATGTTGACTCACTCACCTGTTGACAGTTTATATGGTGTATGCCAGTGGGAGAATCCTACACAGTAATTACAGTACAAAAAGGAGATCTCAGCATACGACAATAAATATATTTGCAAATCTATCAGATAAATCAAGTCTACAACACCATCAAATCCTCCAAATCCATTATAATGTCACCAATCGGCAAATACAATCAAATCCATGAAAAGATTTGGCATCATTTAATTATTGACAACTGTGCTTGGGCACGGGGTGTACCTGGTCCTTTCGAAACAACCCATATGTTGTACCGAAGCAGAACTTTGATGTTGGCGCATTCGATTGCATCAAATAACAGGAGCATCGGGTCGAATGACATCAAATCTCCATTAAGTTCAAGTTTGAGTCTATGTCCACAACCCCATAATCGCTTGATTGGTGATCCTGATCTCCAGTTTTCCGAGACCGTTGCCTCCACACTGCCATGTCGCTGAACGAAGTCTACCAGATCATCCTATTTTGGACATGTGGCTTCGAGCAATTGTTGTGCCAAGTCGCATACGGTCTTTGCCGTTCCGTTACAGACGTGGCCAGCTTGATCCCGAAGCGCCTGGCACAACGGCGAGTCTGTTGGAACAGGTGCGGGGATGGCGTCTGCTACGGGTGCCGGTGCAGGTGCAGGTACAGCAAACGCCAAAGTAACAAAAGTCAGAAAAAGTGCCGACTTCATCTTGAAGGTTGATTGAAAGAGTTGCAAGGTTCGAAGCGTGAATGGTGCGTTAAGCTAAGAGAAGAGTGCTTGAAAACGATGTGATGTCTGTCACTGGAAGCAGAGGATATTAACGGAGTTCTTAAAGGAAATCACAGCCTGAGCGCACGCAAGTGGCCCGGAAAACTTGTTTCTAGCCTCGCGACATGCTTCTTCAAATAGTACTAACTGAAGTCAGTGCGCTCCAACAACGTCACACTTTCTCACTGCGGAATGACTCAAAGCCTGAACTTTATGCTTAACGTTCCCCCTGCAGCTGAAGGTGCGCGTCCATACGAGCTTTTACTTCGTATTGTGTAACTGCTTGAGCAGTGTTGGTTGGAGGCAGTGATGAACGATTATATTGCTATCTGTATTGCTGTTCGATGTTGTTGTTTTTGAGCTCTCAGTTCAGAGGTAAGTGCACTTCTCCTCGGTCAATGCCTACTACAATAGAATATCATGTGATTTAAGCCACGTGGTTACATATTATGTATTCGATAGGCTATAGAGACTTCTACCGGACGAAAACCAAAGGATTCAGCTTCAACGCGCCAAACGGTGAGCGGTCGTCTGATGAAACCTGAAAGTGTCTAGGCATTGGCCGTATAAGACTTGGGTACCTCGTGTCGCACATACGGCCCCATACACGCGAGCTCGCACTAGTACTAGTCAGGAGCAGGGTTGGTATGATGTTCGCCTAATGACTGGGGACGTACAAGCGTAGGAAATCTTTCTGCGATAAACCCGACAAGAGTTCCATACATTACAAAAGTGGTACCGATGTCGTTGGGAGAAGGAATCGGGAAGTGTGACACTTAGCTAGGTATAGCCTGGTGGAGTGGATTTTTGCTTGAGTCGTATGACCTCGCAACTTGTTGCTGATTTGGGATGCAATCTTATTGTATCTATTATGTCTACTGTAGATAGGTGGAGATGAATTTGGTACCAGTGTATTTCTGTGTGTTTTCGACCGAGATGTCCATGATATAAGCTCAAATACATGAAGTAGTGGACTAATTGGTTAGTGGGTAATTATGTGACATATGTATTGTCCTGGGATTACATCTACCTTTCCAGATCACCTCAAGGGTTCAAAGCCGGGGCCTTGAAGGTTACTGTGGAAGGGTTGAGATGTTGATTGATCTGTTGAGCTATGAGAAGGATCGATTGGGACTATATAGTACAAGGGAATAGCAGTGGGGAATCAAGCTGCACTTAACCGAATGAGCTGGACAATCAGTGCAGCGGACCGCTGGCAAACACTGCAACAGACCGCTGGCAAACAGATGGCGATCGGTGGATACATCCACTCCCTCCGACAGTTACTTTATGCCGCCAAACTCGGAACCTGGACCAGTCTGTTCGGGCAGGTAGTCGAGAAACATTGGCGAGAGGTCTACGGATCCATCAGCCTGAGGGCATCTTCCAACTAGGGGCTACTACAACCTCACTTCCTGACGGACTGCTCGCTATATGGGCACATATTGAATAAGGCTGGGGGCCTCAAGTCTAATGCTTTCTAATGACATACTTGCTACACGAGCAGGTCTGTATTATGAATCTGTTGCGGTGTATATAATGTTGCAGTAAATGCAACAAGTGAAGGTGTAACCGCGCAGGGTAGTAAGTCAGTGATAACCGCGCGAAGCAGTAAAATCGGTAAATATTATTGTTGTTCTTCTTCAGTGTTATGTCTCTCTCACCGGGCCATCAGGGTCTGTTTACATGACGTATCTGTTGTTCAGACAGAAAGTGCTGTTGGAACAGACAAGAGCACTGCACCAGCACACGTGGCAGACATGACCTCTTCACTCCATAAACTGTCACATATAACCTTCAGGACCCCAGGGTCAGGAAGGTCGGTCTTTTTGACCGCGACAGCATCTGAATACTGTGAAGACAACAGTAAAAATAGGCTATCTACCGCCATACAAGAGTGTTTCTCCTCCATCACTGAGGAGAAAATCGTACTCGTAGCTTTATTCCTATCTTGTTGCGGCGTGGGCCGCTGTAGAATACGATAGCGTAGGACTATAGGGTCGATGGAATACTGCGCTGAGTTGCTATCTAGTGAGAAGAAGACGACTATATACTGACTCTGGAGCATGCTCGTCCAGAACAGTTCAAGCACGGTTAATAGGGTCTTGTATGGACTGACTAATACCGCAACATAATACACTTGTCCTTTTACTCCCTCTAACGTGTTTCATAAGCGAGTTGGCCATACAACCGAGTTGGCCACTCCACCAACTTTTCCCATTGTATCTCATCTACCCTGCAATAGCTCCACCACCTCATACTCAATTATTGTACCCTGAAGCTGATATCTTTCTTGCCTCTTCTTCTCTTAATCGACGGCAGACAAAAAGCTCTAGGCGTGCTGCTTTTACATATAACATGCTAAAATAAACGCTCAATGACTGATGCGCTGGAAAGCCTACCCAAAACGTAAAGACAAGGTCCGGGTTTGATTTGCGCGATGGAGTGGGACCACGACGGTAGGGTCATACACTGCAGTCATGAGCCGAGGACCCGGTCGGTTGGAAAGAATTAACAAGGGCCACTCAAGCGTTCATATACAATTGTCAAAACTAGACCAATGGAATGCATCTATAGTCTTTGCTCGCCATAGGTCTTCGAGGGATCCCAAGACTCAAAGAGTTTCCACTTGTGGCCTTTGTGCAAATGCTGCAAGAACGGCTTGCACATGAAGCAATAATCCTGAAATTTGCAGACCATACATTGGAAACGTGGTCCATAAATTTCCTATCTTCAGTCAGACGTAACGCACAGCCGCTTGTATATCTACTCACATGGTAGCATCCATTACAGGAACAACCGCCGTGTCGTTTGCCTGTAAGGTAGGGCTTCTCATTTTGAGCACCAAGCGCAGCTCGGCTAGACTCAGACAAGCCGTCTAGCATATCATTATTTCCATGGAAGATCGCGACGGCGAGAGGTGTCCATTCTCCTTGCAACCCAGCAACAGTAACGATGTCGCTTTTCCACCCCTGAGCAATTAGCAGTTCCACAACCTTGACTTTTCCCGCTCTGCAAGCCCAATGGAGAGGGTTCCAATGCTCGGGTCGAGCAACAGCATCGAGCTTTTGCTCCAGAACCACGGTAAGAATATCCAGAGAACCTCCAGACGCGGCAAGACTAATCAAATTGTCCCCTTTCGCATCTAATGTGGTGAATTGAAGTCCTTTGCTTACAAGGTACTGGAAGGAATCTATGTGCCCACCACTTGCGGCAAACTGTAAAGGGTTCCGGTTGTGATTGTCTGCTTCATTCATGCTGGCGTTGCTGTGCTCAACAATGAAGCGCAGAAGATCCGTGTAGCCTTTAAGAGCGAGCATATTTGCAATGGTTCCATAGTGTGGTTCTAATCCACTGGATGCATTGTATGCGCCTTTTTCAAGCAACAACTTGGCCACTTCGACATGGCCATGGAATGACGCTGAGCTTAATGGAGTGCGACCGTTGTTGTTTGCGAGTGACAAGTCCGCTCCTTTATTCAGCAACAGCTCAACCACCTTAAGCTGACCGTAGCTTGCCGCTATGTTGAGTGGCGTGGACCCATCCTTGTTAGCAATAGACTTTGCACCTTTCTCGAGCAGTAGCTCAACCACGTCAAGACAGCCCATGCTTGATGCTGAGTGAAGCGGTGTCCATCCACGTTTATTACCGACAGAGGCGTCTGCGCCTCTGTCAAGCAATAGCTTGACCACTTCAAGATGTCCCTCTCTTGATGCGGAGTGAAGAGGGGTCCATCCATCCTTGTCAGCAGTCCAGTCAGCTCCATTGTCCAGCAGCAGCTCCACTATATCGAGATGACCATTGGATGACGCTGAGAGGAGCGGTGTCCCGCCTTCATTGTTAGCAGTAGAATCTGCCCCTTTCTCAAGCAGAAGCTTGACAATCTCAACATGACCATTACTTGATGCTGCGTTGAGCGCTGTCCAGCGATCTTTGGCAGCAGTTGACCAATCAGCTCCTTTGTCCAGAAGTGACTTAGCTATCTCAAGATAACCTTTTTCTGACGCTGAGATAAGTGGTGTCCACCCATCCTGGTTTGGAGTTTCAAGATCTGCGTTTTCTTTTAGCAGCAGCTTGACTGCCTCCAAATGGCCGTTCTCCGCTGCTAACAAGAGAGGCGTGCATCTATTCTCGTCTTGAAGGTTCAGGTCCATGGTGTATCTCTGAAGCATGAAGGTTATCATGTTAGCTAGCCCTCTTCGACTGATCTCGACGAACAAGCTTTCGCGAGATCGGACTGGATCTGAAAAGTGTCCTTGGCGGAGTAGAACGTCTAATAGTTCCGGCTGTCCACTCTGTAATGCTGCGAAAAGGACCGGAGTGCCATTCTCGTCTGCAATTTCTACTGCCGATGGTGCACTTTGCAGCAGTGTTTGTACAATTTGCTTGTGACCGTTGATCACAGCAGCCATCAAGGGAGTCTCCCCACGCTCGTTTTGATCCGTCGCTGAGGCGCCGTACGAGAGTAGCAAATCCACCATCTTCGTCGTACCGCTTCTCGAGGCTACAGTGAGGGCATGATGGTCATATCTACCCGAGAATCCAGATAATGGGCCTTCTTTCGACTTGGTGGTGTTGGCTTTAGCTTCCAGTAGCTTTGATACGAGGCCCAGAAGACTCGGATCTCCCTGCGCCGATTCATCGTCCAAGACGAAATAGACTGCCCCGTCGAGGTTGATCTGGTTTTGAATCAAGATGTCCAAGACTGGCATGTTTCTGCTACTGATGGCCAGAGCGACCAACGCACTGTGTTGCCCCAGGTACTTGAGTTCTGCACCCGCTTCGATAAGTCGTAGGATTACCTCGCCAGCGTTCTCGTCCAAGGCAATGGTCAAGGCTGTATCACCTTCGTCGTTGGTGACATCCAAATCCCCTGCACCATCAGCTCGAACGTTGAGATTTTCGCGCACATCGCCGACGCCTCTTTCATGGTATAGGGAACGTCGCTCCACAGAGGAATCCACCAACATCAAGGCTATGTCCTGGTGCTTTTCTCTGATAGCAAGCATTAGTGGAGTATTGCCATTTGCGTCTTTGCGATCCACCTCTCCAAGACCGATGTTTAAAACTGTAGAACAAGCAGTCTTGGAACCGCAGGCAGCCAATACGTGCAGTGCAGTAGCGCCTTCGAAAGGCCATCCTAAAGGTGTATGTGCGCTATCGGGATCCAGGGTCCTCCATAGTTGTGCGAGCTTTCGTGTGATTTCAGATCGAGAAGCCCACTGCATAGCTGAGAGAAGGTCATCCTGGATAATCCCCGCTTGCTCCACCTTTCGAATGTGCTGGAATGCGTACCGTACTGCGTATGGTGCCAACGTATACTTGGAAGAAAGGGCTGCTCTAGGTGACTGAGCCTCGTTCAGGACTTCCTTCAAGGTCAAGTATCTCAGGCATGACCTCGAAATCCGGAAATGACCTGCACCTCCCAGAGACGTCGGGATGCGCGGGTCGCCCATAGAATTGGGGGCAAGAAATTTTTCCAGCAAAAAGTCAGCCACAGATTGGTGGATTAGTTGAGCCTCGCGATTCCAGTCCTCTCCTTCGGGATCGTAAAGCTCCCAGAATTCACGGGTTTGAAATTCGACCAAGCCTTTGGACAGGTGCTTGACATGCCTCTCAAAGGCATCTAGTGTATCGGACCAACTGTCATGATCTCTTAATTCAGAGATCGATGTACAGCTCATGTCTGGTTCCGTTACGAGAGCTTCTCGAAGCTCTTGTGCAGACAAAGGTCTCTCGGCAAATAATATCCACTCAAAGAGCTTTGTCAACTGGCGTTCCTCAGCTCCAGCGACATCATTGAGGATTGCAGCGTAAAGTTCGCTCAGAGTCCCGGGGCATGAATCAAGCTTCTTGCGCAGCCTCTCTAATTTTAATCCCTTCAGATCCCCATCTATCATCATTTCTGTAACCAGAAGTACCCACTGAAAGCCGCCTTGGGCCTTACGCCGGATCTTGAGTTCGATTTGCCGGCGCTCATCGGCTGACTGAATGCGCTCGAGTCGATCCTGAGTGAACCGTGCGATGTCAGCGGCATTATGTTCTTCTACTAACACTCCTGGGATGTTGTCACGACTGAGAATCGGATAGTGCCTAGATGACACGCATATCTTGACCTGGGCTGTCTCACACCCGGCTTGCTTGTTGAGGTAGGTCAACAAGCCTTTCGCAGCTTCTTCACCACATTCGTCAAGTGCATCAATGAATATAGTGACAGGTTCATGCGTCGTTCCTTCCCTCAAAACTTGGGATAAGGTGTCTTGCAGCTCCCCGACAGTCCATCCCCATCTCCCTTCCTTGTAATCGCCAAATCGTCTGTTTCGTTCTTCGAAAATGTTCGTGAGCTGGGAGAGGTGTTCTGGAAATCGCTCAAGCATGGAGTTCAAGAGAGCGCGGAATATGCCCAACGGGGTATGTTGCAAGTCGTTGCCTTGTCCATGTATAAAGAATGACACAATAAGCCCGTCAGGCTTTTCTTTACGCAATGCATTGACAGCGAACTTGATCAGCACGGACTTCCCGGTCCCTGGGTGTCCCTTGATCAAGAACAGTCCTCGAGGACTGTCCAACCAAGCTCGATATTGACGGTCTTCGAGGAGCCATTGACATGTGTGTTGCGCGGTATGAACGTTGTCGTATCTCTGCTCTTGTTCACGGAATGCAAGCGACCTGAGGCATTCTAGATCCAGTTAACAGATTGTCCTATATCCAATCGTGTTTCCGAGAACATACCTTTGGCCACTGGAGTGACGGTTTGTTGGCTGTAACCATTAGCAGAGGTGACCAGACCAGAGCTTTAGGGACAGGAAGCAGGCTTACTTTCCATGACTAGCCTCCAATTCTGTCAAGGAATCATCCATCCTACGCTTTGCAGGAGCACTTGAGCCAGCGGGATGGTCTTCTTACAAATTAGCACTTGGCCCCATACTAAAGCTTGCTACACTGACCGCCGGTCTCATCGGTGGCTTCCTTCGCTGTACGGGTGTTGTTAACCTCCAGCACAGGAATCACAGAAAGCAACTCCTTCGCGTATGCCGCGGCTGTTGCTGCCGCGTACGGCTGCCATTGTTCGTTCTTGTGCGAGTCGGCGTAGTCAGAGATGCCACGTATCACCAGACACGGGAAGCTATTCATCAGACCCGCCGCTTCCATCTCGAAGCACAGTACCCCGCCAAGGTCGGCACTGACCCTATCTCTTACCGCAGCGTCTTGGATGACCTCGTTGCCTGATGCAATCGTTCCGTAATGTACCATTACTTCATGTCGTCGTGTCTCTCGAACTAACACATATTCTTTACTGCAATTCTCGCATGTTGCCCCTCCAACGTGTTGGTACTCCGCTTCGAAAAGAACATCTGCGCCGGCAGCTTCGCGCGTGAACTCTGGTAGACTGTCAAGCTTAGATAAGCACTCCAACAGCTTGCCCCTGCGTCTCATGTGCTTGGCCCGCAAGTTCGTAACTGCATTCAGCAACACTGTTGGTGGTCCGTCGAGAAATCCCGTGCGCTCGAACCCGCTTATTGTAGCCTTCCCAAAGTCGTATTGAACCACTCCCCCATGAACCTTTTGTGGCTTGCTGACAATCACATCCCCGAGCCGGATGTCTGCGTGTTCACTGGGAATGCCTCCTCCAATGCCTACCATCAAACCAAAACGAATCGAGGTGAAGGCCATTTTCATCTGATTTGCGACCGTCGCAGCCGAGGTCGTACCCATTCGCCCTTCAGGCAGACAGGCAATTACGACATAGTGTTCCCCAATTCGTCCACAGGTGTAGATGTTCGTGTCGTGGGCGTTGCACGAGGGAGTGTCATGCTCTTCGTCGAGCATTTCCTGGGCGGCTACCAGCTCGATAGCAAGCGCGCAAACCCATCCTACGGTATAGTCTTCGTGGTGTAGCCGGCGTGGCATTCGTACTTGTCGTTAAAAGGATAGCGAGAGTTTGTCGAGTCTTTGCTGCTGAAAAGAGAGTGCAAAGTTCATGGTTTGGCGTGTCAAACAATTTGGTCGTTACCCTGCCGCTTAACCTTGTTGACTGCGAAGATGTCAGCCGCCTGACAGGTGCGGCGGGGGCCGAGGTGGCATCATTTCAATGCCCCCATCTGGCGTACGCCAGCGGGCCGTCTATTGGCTGTTAAGCTGGCCGCAGAAGGACGTCTATGACCCGGTCTGTGCAGATCTAACTCAATTTCCAAGTGACCATACAATCATCATCATTGATGCAGTGTTGACAGGACACGTACGTTATACGTAGCTTATGAAATAGGGTTGAACTTGGTAAGCCCAGGACAGGATGTCCAACATTGACAACAAAAGTGGCACGAGCGGTGAGCATTCTCAGTCAATGTGCTTCACGAGGCTGGCTCAATTACTCACCGGTTGGGATCTTCAATTGGACGGGGTAGTGGCAGTAAGTGGCGTACATCTGCCGCGCCCTAGGATAGCAGAAGCACGCCAGTGAGAAGTTGTCGATAATTGTTTTACACCTCCTTGTGTGCCTTGCGTAGCTCGGACTTGAATTGCTAGGCTGCAGTGACATGTCTGTTTTCTGTTGGACAAGTAGCATTTTTCCGCCATCTGCGGTAGATACCAGGCCACGCAGCCAGGCCCGTTCACCTCAGTGAGGCGCAGCTGCACGCGCCAGGCACGAGCCAGCGGGCCCGTTCGCGTGTTGCGCACCCCAACCACTTTCACAATCCACACAAAAATGAGGCTGTAGAGCCACACATCGTAGTATTATCACGAGAGTTATTGGAAACAATATTCTCTCATACATATCTCAACAGCGGAGTACAATTGCGGCTGTGCAAGGTCTTTTTTAGGTGGGGGATGAGGAAGTGGCTCCAGGGCAGCTGCATGACTACAAGCAGCTGTACCACCATGTTTCTTTGTCTTTTTCTATTCCTGTTGTTGTGAAGCCATTTGCTTGCCTGATTGGGGCAATTGTACAGCTTTTTTTTTTTGGAACTGCAAACTTCCTTCTTGCACTGTTCTTGAGCCTTGTGTTCCTCAGTTTCTGTGCGCTCAAGAGCACGCAGTGCTGTGAGAGGGGGCCAGCTGGGGATACCAACTGCTCTCTGAGATGGATGGATTAGTGGAGGGAAGGTTCAGGCTTGTTGAAGATAGGGGTGTGGAAGAGACCAAGTATGGGAACACCACAAGTGGTGGAAAGAATAAATAATAAAGAAGGGATCAAGTGTGGGGATACCACAAAGGATCAGTGAGGAGTGAGTTGAAGAAAGAGTTGCTGAAGTAAATTGAATTGAGAGGTGAGACCTGAGTCTTGACAATCGGCTCACTCTAATGCCTGAAGCGATTGTCAAGACTCAGGTCCGGCCCACTGAGCCACGCAAGCCAAAAGGTATCACGGCTCACTCTAATGGTGAGCTCTAGGCCCGACAACGGTCTTCGACTAGACGTCTACCCCTGATCACTCCGAGCTTCGCTTAAGTGATCAACCCCTTGTTCCTTCACGCTACACTTATCCGTGAGAACCAACCCGACTAGTGCCTACGAGCTTTGCTTAAGACACGACCTCAACAACTGCTCGTACCAAGTATAATGATTGTGCCGAGTATACTGATCGTACTGAGTATACTGCTCGTACCAAGTATACTGCTCGTACCAAGTATACTGCTCGTGCCAAGTATCGCCGACGCGGCCTCACTGCTTGGGTCGATCAAGTTGCTTGAGTTGCTCAACTGAGAGTGATGATCATACTGAGTATCGCCGATGCGGCCTCACTGCTTGGGTCGATCGATACTACAGTTCCTCGGCTCTTCTCGTATTGTTGCGTAGTCCTGTTTGTTCAGTGTTGTTGCGGGTTGCCCTTTGATCGTAACACAACCGTACAATAGTACTGACTGTTAGAAACGCTGAGCCTTGGCACAAGTACTTCAAGGGCATCTCAGTTTTGATTCATCCAACAATCACTTCTTCTACTACTTGAATCCTCACTAGTGCTATATTTTTTTTTCGTTCTTTTTGGCTGCATCATACAGCGATGTTCGCTTCAACTCACTATACAGCTTCTGTCTTCACCTCTTCTCCAGGTGTATCAACCACCGTTCCATTTTCCACAAGGACCAGCTCATCGACTCTGTTCATGGCATATTCGACCCGCTTCCAAGTCTCCAAGCTCCCAGTACTCGTACTGATTTCCCAAACCCGCGTTCCTCGGTGAAACCGATTTCTGCCGTACGAACAATATCCCCCGAATCCACTGGCACCTCCATAGCATAGCCAAGGGCCAGTATGAAGGGGTTTTCCGCCACCCTGCTGCACTTGTTGTCGCAACAGAGCGCAAAAATCATTCACGTGATCGTGCCCGCAACCTAATGCTGCTATGCCTTCTTGAACCAAAGCATCGTAGAAATGGGAATTGAAACTGGGCCCCTCAGTCGGCTCCCTCCGGCGGCCGCTTCGTATACTAAGATGGCTATCTTCTTTGAACTCGGGTAGAGGGATATGCAGGAAAGCAAGAGACAGATGAAAGCGGTTATCGTTATTGTCGTGCTCACGCGCGCTTCGTTGCGTTTGGGAAGTGTTTACGAACCAGTCAATTTGGTTTTGCTTGATGAAATCATAGTCAGATTTGTAGATCTTGCTCGGTATTTGACCGTGCGAATCCAGGAAATATAAAGTCGATACGGGGAACTGTGATGGGGCGGGGGCAAGGACCTGGACGTAGAAGTTGCCTACACCGTCAACCTGCTCTGGGCCTGGCTCGGAGAGGCTAAAAGGCAGATACTGAAGTATTGACATCTGTGCTGTGCCTGTAATCTAGTCAGTAAGAATGTACAGCTTATTAGCATTGCATAAATGTCTTGCGGAGCAAAGCAGTCTACACCGTTTGTGAGACTATGATAAATCTAAGTTTGTTGTCGGTCGCTTATGTCTGTGTGGATATTATATGGAAGAAATAACTCACGTGATAATGCGTGGATGCCCTCACTATCATGATTGCCAAAGACGGCTGCAAATGGAATTGAACGCTCGATCATAGGAGCAACCACCTTGAAGAGGGCAGATTGGCTGTCGGGGATGTCGTGGTGCAACTGGTCTCCAGTGAGAATCACAAGGTTTGGTTTCTCAACATCCAAGATCTTTCCAATGAAGTTTACCGTAAGTGTGTCAGCCTCGAGTTCTGGCCGAAAATTCCCATGTGCATCAATGGCATCTTTGCAGACTCCAACACCAGTGGTCATGTGTGTGTCAGAAATCTGCACGATCTTGAATCTGCCATCCTGGTCGACTCTCAGAGCCGCTCGAGCATTCGGTCTGGGCTTGGCTCTGCCGTGGAGTACGCTTAGTCTTGCAACCGGGACCTCTGACTGAGCGTTGAGTTGGAGTGACGATTGCATGAGAGTCCATTGTGGTCGTGGGTCAACAGCATCTTTACCAAAGAGAACATCCACCTCTGTCACAGCCTGATCAATCTTGCCAGAGAACTTGCTTCTAAGCACCCAGATTCCGCCAGGTCGACTCTCCCATGAACCACCGGAGCTAGGGTTGGGAGGCAACTCGCCGACTCTGATATCCATAACCAACAGGTCCTCAGCTGCAAGCTCTTCCTCACTCACTAGTGCTACATACAGCCATGCACTCTGCTGAGATGTACGTAGATAGAGTTCCTTCTCTATGCGGCGCCATATTCGCGGGTCCAGTTCGCAGGTGGAAAGGGAAACCGTGGGAGGGAAGATGCGTACGGTCAGATCTGTGACAACTGGGTGACCAACAACAGCCGTATTAAGAGGAGTGGAAGGCGCCACCGTTTCAGAGTGCAAAACTCGAACAGTACGACGCATTATGGCTATTAAGATCGTTGATACTCAGGCAACCCTCAGTGTAGACATTTGTTGTTATTTTTGTGGGTCGTGGAACGACTTTACTAAAGCGTGATGTGGCAGCGGTCCACGTGATACGGTGACTAATCCCCATCTGTACCTGGTGTTATTGCAAATCTCCTCGCCACTTATCTATGAAGTGTGGCAACTGGTCACTGTGTTTTGACGTGGTAGGGTTTGGTGCGCTAGCCAACCGGGGAAACTCCAAACCATGTCGATCAAGCGGGGCTAGTCGATCCGTAATGTCCGCGTCGACAATCATCTCGGCTCACCTCGAGACATGTCGCGCCCGCCGTTCGATTCAAACGGCGCTCTTTCTGAATCTTTGCGCCCTACCAGGTCGCTGCCTGCCTCGTCACCAGATGCCATACCCTCACTTACCAGCTCACCCACGGGGCCCACATTGGCGCGCCATTCATTGCCTCACTACCCCAGCTGCAGTTCGAGCACTACTTTCCAACGCCTACAGCGCCTTCAACTGCCTCGTCTTATAGTAAGAGGCGGCGCAGAGATGACGCCGACGCCGACGCCGCCTCCGAAGCCTCATCGCCCTCGAAGGTCTCCCGCAAGAGCGACTTGAGTAATTTTGGCGCCTCGCATAGACCGAATCTGCTGCAGCCCTACAACGACTGTTGTGGCTGCGGCGTTCAATATCTCCTCCACGTCGCCCACGTCTTCGACAAAGCCGCCATTGCCGAATTTCAGTCCTACCGCAATCGCGGTCTGGTCAGCCTAGAGACCCTTGGCGACTACGACAACGCCATCTACCTCTGCGCAGCCGACCACGGTGCATACGATGCCTCAGCCCCACTGCTCGTTATCGCTCCCAAATACCTCGACTTTTTCTTCGACACGGAAAGCAACTGGCAGCACGAATTGAAGGAATCGCTGGTGCCCCTAGCTCGTCCACTCATCACAGCGAGCGATTATACAAGACATTGCAAGCAGAGGCTGGGCGAATTCGATGCGGGCCCGCTCTACGTGGCCTACCCACTGGCGGATTACAAGGTCAAGGGTCAAGTTGGTTCAGCATCCGAATTTGCGTGGCATGGTGACCCCGGTGCAGCACTGTGGCATGCGAAAAGGCTGCTCATTGCGACCCTGGCAGCTAGTCCAGAGCCGGAGCATTACTCAGCGGTAAGGCACATAAGAAGGCGGCTGCTTGACCTTCAGGATCTGTACGAAGAGGGAGACAAAAAGTGGAAGTTCCGAGTCGAGCCAGCGGACGCAGCATCTCAAACAGCATCATCCGGCCAAGACGGCGATGCAGGAGCCGGCGCTCAGAGTCCTTCACCAAAAAAACCCCAACCTCCCCCCTCTGCACCACAAACCAGCAGCTCCGGCTCGGCAAATCGGGACTCCCAATACCCGCAGTTCCCGACCACGTACTCGCTGGACAACACTCCACTCTTCCTGGACACACCCAATCTCAAGCGCATGCGAGCTGAAACAGATGTTGAGGACGCAGAGCAGAAAGCAGACTTCGAGAACACGTTGCACACACCGATCCCCGTAACGCACCAGTCGCGCAAACGTTGGAAGCCTGCCGCCGTCAGGACGCGTGCACCACACCAGAAAAATCAGCAACCGTCCAACGAGCTCGACCGAGGTGACGGTACAGTACTGGAATACCATTTTCCGACTTAGTGATATTGGCTCGGCCAAACCGCCCTGAATCGAAACCTTACGACGACTTTGTTGCGACAACCTACAAGTACAGCGATTACAACCCTTTCAGGGCACAGGACAGCTGCAAGCAATGATACTCCGCTCTCAATGCCTGCGCACACGCGCGAACGTGAAAAAGTCTTTCGATGGTGCCATTGCGCTGGCACCAAAGAGGGCACCGGTCGCAGTAAATGCCCCCGGCAGGATGGCTGCCGCCACCACAGTGAAAACAACCTCGAATGCATGTACGACAAGGATGGCAACGGCCTTGAATTAGCGGGGCGGAGAGAACTGAGAATGACTGGTCTATTTGTCGTCCGCGCTACGTTCAATGTGGCTACAAGTTGGATTGTAGTAACTCCAGAGTTTGTAACGGCTCCTGCTGTGTGTATCATGAACCAATGCAGCCATGTTCGAATTGCTAATGTCCAATCACGACAAAACAGGTTCTACTATCAATCTGCTCAAAGTTCAGAGCTAGCGAACGCGTGATTGTCCGCACCCTTTGTAAAACCGTGGTGCCTTCCCAGAAATCAAGAATCGTCTACGGGACAGCCTCAGGATCCCGGACAAATTACAACATATTATCATGGCTTAATTTGACGCATTACCAGCTGTAAAAAGTACCAAGGATCTCCAACCTCGTTTGGATGGATCTCCACGCCATTCTCTTACCTCTGTCCACATACTCTAGGTCTTTCTTGTCCACACCGTCCGGAAGTCAAAACGGTGAACTGCGACAGAGTGCTGGAGACGCACCGTCTCATGTTATTAGTTATGGAATGACGCACAGGCCTCATGTTTGCGGAGCTTCGAGTTTTCTTTCCGCTTTTCGTAACGTCTCACGTTACTCTCAATTCAGTAAGTAGCAATCCGTCGTCACTTCTTAGCGATCTTGAGACTACCTGGTCGTGAGATAGAATCACGTGTAGTATATGGCGCCAGACCTCCCTCTACTCGCCAACTCAAACTTCACCTATTCACAATGTAGTGCTGATACGGGTGTTGGACGCGAACATGACGCTGGATACAAGACCAGGCTCTGTGTCAGATCAACGGTGCCAGAAATGCTTTGTGAAGTAGTCAGACAAGGCACGCAGCTTCTATATCATCTGCAAACCCTCATACAACAACTTGCTTCGCCCGTTCCACTCAGCCCGGCCTTGTGACGTTGTGTTGTAATGAACCTTCAACCCGTACATCCGCAAATCCAAGATCCAACATCCACTGCACCGGGCTATAACTGCCGCACACCATGAACCTGTCCATCATCTCCTGCACGAACTGTAAACATCCTTTGCGCCGGCGTCCGGGCGGGCTGCTGCTGCTGTCGCTCTCGCATGCGCTGTCCTATCGAACTTGTCCTCACCAAACGGGCTCGACAACTCCAAACCTTGCTGCGCAACCATTAACTCGCGCCACCTTGACAGCTGCCGACAAAACGGGCAGATACTGCTCAGGGCCTTTCCAACTATCGTCCTTCACATCCAACACGGCCTGACAGTTGAGGCAAAACAATCCAACTGTTGATGAGATGTGGTTTCTGTACTATCTGCTGTTCGTAGTAAATACACCGATTACGTGCACATATCTCTCTGCCCAAGCCTGTCCTGTGACACGACACACACACTTCTAGAGCACACAATAAGTTTGTTGTACACCTCTGAACATTCCGCACTCAATAGTGGAACACATAGTAACTTATCTCACTACTATTGACTTAGTTACATGCAGCTAGCGCTAAGTCAACAATCTTAGAAAGCGCAGCTGATGCGCTAACCCTTCGATGCGACCCACACTTACAAACACAATCGATAGGTCTCGGGCAGGATCAACGAACCACATAATTGAACCTCCACCGATGGCGTAGAACGATCCAGGCGAAGCTGTCGCTCCAACAGTAAGATGATGACCTGCTCCTCTTGTATAGCCTCCAAGTAAAGTGAAGTTGGCCGGGAGATTCAAGAGGCTGTTTGAACTGGTCTCTGCCGTCCAGGCGTCACTGTTCAGCTCGCCAGTATGATTTTGAAAGCTGTAATCAAACATAGATTTGGACAGCAGTCTGTATTCCCCATTGTCACCACGTTGTCGCAGGATTTCTGCGAACCGGAAGACGTCATCGACTACCGACCGTGCAGAGCCAACAGGAACTTCTGCTCGATTCACAGGACCAACATTCAACATATGTAGTACTCTTGGAGTCGTTGTCGTTGTTTGCTTTTGAGTGTACGCACCTGGGACTCTTCGTGGATCATTCGAATTCAATCTGTAGACTGTTTCTTTCGTACCAGCAGGCTGAAACAACTCTTCCCTTGCAATCTGCGAGAAAGATTGCTCTTTCGTATCTGTTGCAACTAGCAGCTGCCCCCGCACTGCGAAAGTGGACGCAGAGCAGTAACAAGATCACTCTCCCGGAATATAAGAGACAGGCATTGCTGAGACGTTTCTGACGTAAGTTTCCAAGTCTCCAATATCAATTGTTGCCAAACCGGGCGGGCTGAATTCAGGATACATGCCTGCTGTGTGTGTGAGGCATTGTCGAACAGTGATTTCTCGTTTCCTAGCCACTCCAAAGTCCGGCAGGATGTCAGAAACTTTCGTGTTGAGAGTGAGACCCCATAGTCAATCGCCCTCAGAACAAGTGCAGCAGTGGAAGACTTGCTCAAAGGCATGGTGAGGTAAAGATCATCCTTCGCATGGGATCGACCGCTCGCGGTTACTGTGCCGTAGGTCTTTCGTAATCCGATTTTGCCGCCTCGAGCGATGATAACTGAAGCTCCGAACATGTGGCCATCATCGATGTCTTTTAGATAGTGATGTTGTCACGGTTCAGGGTGCTCCTGCCTGTCGAACCTCACCTGCCTGGAGTGACTGCCACGTTACGCTAGCGTTGTTTACAGCTACTCACCTATACGTACTGTCCGTAGCTTCACCCAATACAACCTCAGTTCAAACCTTCAATATTCCCGCACATGCGTACAATCCAACGCGACAAATAGAGACGGTTCCTTGGAGTCGTCCGCCCACTTTACTGACTTCAAGATCGTCGTCGTTGGAAGACACAGACTCACAGCATCCCGGTGGTACCGAGATTACCTCGATATCGGTAGTGCTATTGACATCGCCAATGAGACTGAGCTTGTGACCTGATATAGACGCACTGCAGATCAAGTAATCAACTTTGACAACAACAGACGAAGAAACAGGGTCGGAAGAGTTCAGACGTGAGGGCGATGTGTAGAGTGACAACGGCTCGGTTGCAGGGAAGTCCAATACCCAGTAGTTGTACACATCGTTCCGCCATAACAAGTATACGTCAAGGCAGTCGCCGAAGCTAACAATCATACGATTGCGCTGGACATACCATTGAACCACGTGAGATCCCTTGTTTTGCATTCGCTGGGCGAAACTATTCCTAGCCAGCTTCGGAACGCTCAGCTTTGAAGAGACGGCGAATTCATGAGTTTCTCCAAGGCCGCCGTATAGTATGAGTACTGTTTTTGAGCCTGACCGCTGCCAAGTGAAGATCTCGATTGAGGAGTAAATGAGGTTGATCCCCCCAATATCCATATCAGTAACGTGAATCTTCGCGTCGCGTCCGTTCAACGTTAACGAGCCACCCAGCTGAGGGACGCTGATATCTCCTATGCTTGTACTAACTTTTCAGGTATAGAGAGTTTGGTCGAAGGACGTGTAGTCGTCATGCCGAATTACATAGAAGCCAGTCCTGTGACCAATGAGAGGCGCCGTGATGAGGCTGGTAGTGTTTGTGTAGATTTACATATCCCCCTGAGGACTGGCTGTCAGGTACGCAGGCGAAGAGCGAAGGTAGTTCGCTTGGAGTTTGAGCTCGGAGTACTTTTCGCGAACTAATTGGCGATCCTCGCTTATTGCGGCACCCATATCATAGGACGTATAACCAAGCGGGTGGCCGATGTTGCCCCAGTTTGTGCCTCCGTAAGTCTGCCGGATCTTTAGTGGTATACCAGATCTGCGACGTAGATAACTATACCATGTACAGGTTCATTATCGCAGTATGCAAGCCATAGTTGATCTTGTAGAATACCCGCGCGAATTCGTGATTGATTAACGCAGCCGCGGTCTCGACACCCACTCCACCCCTAAACAGCAGCAATCAATATCCGCTTTCATGATATCTTGTTAGTTTAGAATGTCTTATTATGCATCTGACGTACCGCCTTGAAATTCAACGGCTGCTATTGGGCTCGAAGGAAGCGAGATAGAGCGAACTAAAGTAAGGTAAGTCGATATCGGGATACTCCCAAGATTTCGATTGACAGTATCAGTAGCTAGCTCAGATTATCCATAGTGAGATATGTGCAAGAGGGAACATACATTTCAATGAAGCCCATCCAAACGGATAAAAATCAAAGCCATAGATATCCACTTCACCCGGCCCAGAGCCAGGAACAAAATTACCTGTAGGAACACCATCATTGTTGATGAATGGAACAGTTATTTCAGCGAATCGAAACTCTCTCTCGATCCATTGCATGTAGCTCTTGTCCACGCAAGCACCGACAGATGTTGTGCCACTCTCCAAGCAGAAAGTGAACTCATTTTTTTGGCTGAACCATTATCACCGGACCGCCCTTCGCAATTTTTGCTTTGCCGATGACTCTTCCAATGTGCCGAATGTAATTTGCAATACTCCCCGAAAGTCAGGGGCAGTGGCCCTGAGAACACCTTTATTGCGTTGTAGCCAGCCCGGGAAGCCACCTCCAGACACTTCCGAATTGATGTATGGGCCCGGTCGTGCAAGGAGATAGATACCTGCTCGCTTAGCTGCATCAAAAAAGCCTTCCAGGTTGTAAACACCACTGTTCTTGATATGTCCGCTTTCGCCTTCGATCAAAGCCCACATGACATATAATGACACGCCAGAAAACCCATGGCTTTGATCTTCTGGAAGATGTCCAGCCATAGGCCCGGTGAAGGCAAGCGGAATGGGTGGAATTCTACAGAGAGGAACATATTACGCTCGCCGCGAATGGTAATTGATGATTTGTCCCATGCGAGAAGAGACTCTGGGACTGTGTCTCCACTGTGTCCGGCTCCTGCGAGCCAAGCAAAAAGGAAACACAGGAGCGTAAGCAACCTTTGCATGTTTATTCAGTGATTGAACGAGATAGTTATGATGTCGATCTGGTACAAGTAATGAATTGTAACAGCGTAACGAATTGAAACGCCCAGGGTACTCGAGTGCTTATAGTGCTCTGTGGCCTCTATTGAATGTGTCTCTCTGCTTCTCTTGGGGAACAGCGGGTCGATTAGACCTGGAAGCTTCGGGACCTTCGCAGGCAAGCTAATAGGGTCATGCGCAAGGAACTGGTAAATGCTTATTGATTGATTAAACGCATTTGATGCGAGCATGGACAAACGAAAAACCGTACCATAATGCCGAATACAGCTAGGGAGTCCGCATATCAGCATGCGACTGTAGCATTGGAGTCGGCTCCTCAAGCATCGACTGGGACTAACTATAATGAAATTTGTTCAGTCCAAGGATGCTCGACGATCTAGACGGTTTCGGGCATACGCGTGAGAAGGAATCGGCCCCCTAGCGAAATTGATCGACGAAAGAAGAGCGGGGAAATGGACTTGAAGTCAATACCGGATACACAGCCTTGCATTCAGACTGGACAGCATATATACTTTTCATGGCAATTAGTCGTGCATGTGTCGACCAGCGCCGTGATTCTTATCTTGTCTGTATACCCTTAGCCTCAATACCAGTTCAAGAAAGTATCGATACAATACACCCACATTTGATATATCGATATATCAAGCTCATGGTCCTGCTTGAAGCTCGCCAGGCATGGTTGTCGTCAATATTCTTGGACAGGTGTTCTGTGCTGCAGTCGGTGAATCCACCCGCAGTCCTCCCAAACCTAACGAGTAAAGATCCTCATGGCAGCCCAGCCCCATTGAGCACGAGTTATGCACAATTAGTTCGCGAAATAGAGTGAGACGCTTTACGCGCAAAGCATGGCTGAAGGAATTCGCGTGCTGGTAGCCGTTGCTTCTGTCACTGAACTAGACAAGCGATTGCATCCTTACCGTGTCCGTGCGCGTAATGCGCGGATTCGCGTAATGCGCCGAACCACCTTTTTGTACCCATACTTCACTGTACAATTACTCAACACCACAATGACTATGAAATCTGCCTTTGAAGAGATAGACTCTATGATACCATGTGATAAGATCCCGTGGACAGCGCTGGCTAAAAAACATAAGGTTGTGCGCTCAACCCTGTCTCGAAAATATCGACACGAGACGCGATTGCGTGAAGAGAAGGCGATTGCACAACAAAAGCTCACTCCACAACAGGAGGACGAGCTTGTCAAGTATATAGAGGAGCTTACAGCTCGCCGTCTACCTCCTACAAGGGAAATGATAGCAAATTTCACGTCGTCAATAGCCACAGAGCCAGTCAGCAAGAGCTGGGTTACCCACTTCATCAACAACCACTCGATCCATCTCATCTCTCAATACTCAACAGGTATGGACAGCAATCGCCACAACGCCGATTCGTATACCAAGTACAAGCTCTATTTCGACCTGTTGCAGTCAAAAAT